TGCAGAGAAGTGGGATTTGCACCCAGGTCTTCCACCCATAATTCGGCGCCCAGCCCAGGCTTCCTCATGCTGTTTGGGGCCTTAGTCCCTGAGTTAAGCTCTGAGTTTCCGGAGGAAGCTGGCTTGGGGTGGGCTGGGGAAGGGCAGTCAACGGTGATGAGGTGAGCCACAGAGGGAGAGGGCAGAGGTGGGCTCAGGACAGGCCCCGCCTGGGCCACCAGTGGGAGCAGGACTGGCCAGTGGGTCTGGTGAGCCCGGCTGTCTCTGAGGTGCCACCGGCTGCCTCCTGAGTGGGCAGAGAGTGCTGGGCGAGATGGGGGTTAATGATTGTTTTCTAGCAAGCGATTCCTCTATGTGGGGTTTATCTTCCTGGGTCATCGCCCTGTGGTCTGCACTTACCAGAGTAATAGCAGCCTGGTCTGGGGCCTCCTGCCCGCCCACTGGCCCCAGGGCCCTGCAAACAGATGGCAGCAGATGAGGCAGAGGCAGGCAGGAATAAACAGGAGCAGCGCCCACCCCGCCCTGACCCTCTGTCCCAGGGCACGGCAGGGCTGTGTGTCCTCAGCTCAGGGTGGCTGCCCTCCCAGCAGGGCCCAGATCCAGGGAGCCCCAGAGACACCCGCACCCCCAGCCAGTCCTTACCCCAACTGTGGGCCCCTGCCCGAGCCCAAGCACACCCCCTCACTGGCCTCAGAGCTCCCTCACCATCTTTCTCTTGCTTCGCATACGCCCTCAGGAAGCCAAGGAGGGGAGGGCAGTGCTGTGGACGGAGGATGGCTCCGGGGGAGGAACAGCGCTTCCAGTATTCATGTGGCTCTCCAAGTCCCCGGAAGCACCCATGTGGTAGGCATTATATTCAGTTTACAGTTGAAGATGCTGAGGCTCTGTGAGCTTAAGTGACTTGTCCAGGTCATTCAATTAGGTAGGAAGAATACTAGCCCCCAAAGATGTCCACACCCTAACCCCAGAGCCCGCGACCATGTCACCTTGTGTGGCAGAAGGGGCTTTGTGGATGTGATTAAGTTAGGGCTCTTGAGATGGAGAGGCTCTCCTGGACGATCTGAGGATAATGTCATCGTGAGCATCCTTTAAACGTGGACCACAGAGGCAGAAAACTGAGGCAGTGTGAGAGACACTACTGGCTGTAAGATGGACGGGTTGCCAAGGAACTGGAAAAGGCAGAGAACGGAGCCCTGTGACACCTTGATTTAAGCCCAGGGAGACCGTTTTGGACTTCTGACCTACAAAGCTGCAGTAGTAAATAAGATTTCTATAGATAAACAATAAAGGAATAAAATTGTGTTGTTTTAAGCCACTATGTTCAGGGCAATTTGTTACAGTGGCAACAGGAAGTTAAGACATGCAGCTGGAAAGTGGCAGAGCCAGAACTGAGCCTGGAGTGGGGGCCTTGCCTGGGTGGCCGGCACCCCACATGCTGCTCTCCCCGTCCTGCCCGCGCTCTCCGTAGGGAGTGGGGCCCCACGGAGCACAGCAACGGTGACGGTGAAGGAAGACTCCAGCCCGGCCAGCCAGGGTTTCAGCTACTCTCCTCCCCTGCAATCCCCAGCCCCCTGCCTGCCTCTCCCCTGCTGTGGACCGGGGTTTGTGGAGGCCATAGCAGCCCACTTTGGGGGGTTCTGGCGAGGCAGGGCCCGTGCCAGCTGTCGGGCACACCCAGCCGGGCTGCCGCTCTTTGCTCTTCGCTTGGTTTCTCTTTCCTGGTTGCTTTGAGGCAGGCGGTGGGCAGGATGAGGGGTGTCTGTGGGTCTCTCCTTGGGGGCCCCTGAGGATCCGCGTGTCTGTGTCAGGGCAGGGGGCAGTACCTGTGTATCTGGGTGCCTGCTCGTGGGGAGGGTCCAAGGGCCCTGCCCCTCTGGTGTGTGTGTGTCTCAGAGCCTGTGGCCTTCTCTGGCAACGTGTGGGAAAGCGTGAGTGTGCGAGTGCCTGCTCATGGCCCGGTGTGTGCGCCTGTGTCAGTATGCGGCTCACACCCTGTGTGTGTGATGCGTGTGAGCACGTGTCTCCTGTGCCCCCGTGTGCGGTGTGAATGGGACGAGTGTGGGTGCCCACTTGTACCTCTGTGTGAATGTTGAGTGTGCAAGCGTGAGGGCATCTGCTCATGTTCTGTGAGTGTGTGAACATGTAAGAGTGTGTCCGCTCACGCCCTGCATGTGAATGCCTGTGAACATGTGAGCATGTGTACAAGCACACCTGCTTGCGCCCTGTGTGAATGTGAGTGTGCAAGTACGCGGGTGTGTCTATTCATGCCCTTGTGTGAGGGTGTGAACACAAATGAGTGTGTCTGCTCATACCGCTGTGAGAATGAGCATGTGAGTGTGCAATCATGCCCGTGTGTTTGCGAGCGTGTCTCCTTCCCCTTCTGTGTGTGAACATGTGTGCATGTGTGCACTGCTGCCCTTCCCCAGCCAGCCAGCCAGCATTGCCTCACCCCCGTGACACAGCCGCTAATGACTGTTTGCCATTGTCTCTGCAGCAGTGGCATCACCTGCACTAATGACAGTCTCTCCTGCCTAATGACCTGGCTCCTGCCCCATCATTTAGGAGCCTCAGGAGCACTGGCCCCGTGGCCAAACAGATGTTGACGAGCTCAACACATTTCCCACTGGGGTGTCAGTGGGGGTGGGGAAGGTGTAAATCCCGCCCCTCCCCAACAGCCCTGGGGTGCTGCGTGGGCTTGGAATTTCAGCAGGCTGATGGCATCCTGGGCGGGAAGCCCCAGGTCTGGCCCTGCCCTCTGTCTCAGCAGGGCCGGTGGCTGCTGCCCTGCCCCACAAGGTGCCCTTGGACTCCAGCAGCCAGACCGCATCAGCTCCTGTAGACAGGGATCTGCCTCCCCCCTGACCCCAGGTTCCCAAAACCCCCAGGCCCTCTGGCCTCTGTGAATGAAGAGGTCCCTTCTGAGCAGGCCTCTCTGTGCCCAACAGGCTCTGGTCTGGCCACCCCTGGGGAGCAAGAGGGTCTGGAGCAGCCAGGGAGTCACAGAGTCCAGGCCAAGCCACCTGTGTGGAGGCCACCGCAGAAGCCTCTTCCACCCACCCCACCCATGTTTCTTTTATGATCAAAAATAAGTTGAAATAGCCTTCTGGATTCTGAAGGAGGAGCTGGGCAGAGTTGCTACCACCTTTCTGCGAAGCCACAGCCATTGTTCACACTGTCTTCTAGCCCCGAGCCTACCGGCCCATCGATGTGCCCCACTTACGGGCCGCCCTGCCCACCCGGAGTTTGCCCCAATGTGCAGAGCAGCCTAGTGCTCTGCATGGTCCAGTAGGGACCCACTAAAGGTTTTCCAGGTTAAACCTAGTCCCATGCCTGCTTGAAACTAGCTGTGTGGCCTTGAGCAAGTGAGGGGCAGGTGCTCTGCGAAGTGAGGGTGCAGCGGGACCTGCTTCCCAGGGCTGCTCCGGGGACTAAATGAGCTCCGTGTGTAAGGCACTCAGAGCATTGCCAGCACAAGCAAGCACACGCAAACCTTTCTAGAGCCTCTTTGAGCCTTTCTTGCCTCAGCCATACAGTGGGAAGGACAGCTGCTGGCTTAGCCCCTGAGGGGCTGAGTGAGGGAAAGAAGGAAGGGGTGAAAGCACCAGCTGTCCTGATTGCTGACCCAGTGTCCATGTCCTGGAGGGAGCTCTCATGCCTTTGCTGGCCTGGGGCTGTGGCTTGTCTATGTGGAAGGCTTCCTCAGACTGTCCTGAGGACGGAAAACCATCCCAGTGCATTGCAAAGTATTGTTTGTGAATGCACGTGTCTGTCAGTCTCTGTGTAAAATGCATTTCTCACTGCGGGTTGAGGAGACACCTGGTCCATTGTTTCTGGGCAGAGCAGGCACAGGGGTGTGGGGACACCCTGGCTTCGCCTTGTTCCCCTTCTGCTCCACTGTGGAGTCTGCACTGAGTGCTCATGTGTACTGTCCTGGCGTGGCTGGGCCCCAAAACAGGAGGACGCAGATCAGCTGAAGGCACATCCCCTTCTGCCCCAACAACCCTTGGAAGTCCCCCCCTTCTTGCCATTTGCCTGGGTAAGGTCCGTGCTTGGCATCCAAGGTGCTTTGTCATCCAGGAGTGGCCTGTAGGGTAGAGGGTGGCGCTGAATATGTAAGGGTACAAGGGAGGCCTCCCAGGCTGGCTTCTCCTCTGGACCTAGGCCTGGATAAGTTTTAGGGCTGAGCCAAGCTGTCTCTGAATCCTGCTCCTTCCCCACAGCCCTGGACACCTAGCCAGTCAGCCCCATGGGTGGGGCATCAGAAAATGCTTCCCACAACAGCAGAGCAGAGGGGGCCTCTGAAACCCAGGGACCGTCTCTTTCTCCCTCCCCCAACACACCAGCTATACCCTTGGCATGGGGCTCCCCGAGAGCCAGTGGTGGGCTGGAGGTGAGGGGTGCTGGGGCACTGGAATAGCAGCGGCTACCACCTACTGAGGGGTGCTCTGTGCCAAGCAAGGCACAGATCGATTTATAGATATCATGCCAGTCTTTGTCACCCTCTCAAAATGTTCCTGTTATTGTGCTCATTCTACGGATAGCAAAACTGAGGTCCAGAGTGCTTAAGTCTGCACAACTAGTAAGTGCCAGAGCCGAGATTCAACCCCAGGCCGGCCTCTCTCTACATCTGTTGTGGCCTCGGAGGGAGCCAGCCGTGTGTGTTGGTGGGGACACAGCATTAGCGTGCAGGCCGGTTCCGGAGGCCAGGAAGAGTGGACTTGATTGTGGAAGCGTGTGCAGTACTCCAATGGGAGAAGCTTCCCTCTTCCAGGTACTCCCCAGAGATTCCTGCCCAAATACAACCTTATGGGGCCTCCCTGACGATCAAGGTGAGATCTTGAACATGGGGAGAAGCTGCTTATCGTTGGCAGTTTTGTCAGTGGGACTGCTTGATTATCAAGAGGAAAAAATTAGATTTCAGAGTCTTCCTTGGCACTCCTTAAGGGCAGGGACTAATCCTCCGGCAAAATGGGCTTCATTAACACTGACTGCTCTCACAGCTAGTGACGGCCATGGGAGCTGTAGCTTCGTGAGAACATCTGCGAAGTAACACATAAACCAGGGCAAATGAGCACAGGGTAACGTGGGATCTAAGTGCCGAGGGGACGCGAAGTAAGCGGTGGTGAGAATTGGGTGGGGTTGGCTGGGAAGGCTTCTGAGAGCAGGGGAGTGTGGAATGGCTTGGGGAGGGACAAGGCTTTCCTTGAGGTTGGGGCAGGTGAGGGGAGTAGCTGGCATTTAGCATCCCGGCGGCGTCATTCCAGAACAAGCCAGTCCCTGGGTGCCCTACCCAAGAGACCCGGCTCAGTGACCTGGCACCCTGGGAATTTGCCCTGCCTCCTGGGTGGGGATTGTCTGGCAACGTGCGTGCCCAGCCCACTTGGTGCCACTTGAAAATGGCGTGGAAATGTGGTGTGGTCTTGAGCCAGGTCTTCCTCTCCAGGGTTTTGGCCCGTTTTGGCCTGTGGCCCATGCAAGTATCTTCTCTGTGGGACGTTGAGGGGAGAAACGAGGGGGAGTGTGGCTTCCTCCGCATGGTGCTGACAGAGAGTCTGAGAAGTGGCCTCTGTCCTCAGGGGGTCAAGGTGCCAGTTGGGAGGGCGGTGCCCCCAGCCAGCCTGCCTCCACACTGCCCCACACCTGGGGCTGCAGCCTGAGCCTGGGCCTGAGGCAGGGGACAGAAACCTCAGATTCAGAGTTCCCCAGGGGAGGGGACTTTAGTCTTCCCTCTCCCTTACGGAGAGGGCTGTGGAGGGCAGGGTCAGGAGGGGAGGAGAGTGTGTGCGGTGGGCCCTGGATGTGAGGAAGAGACACTGTCTGGTTTTCGAGGAGTTCCCTGGAGGGTGGGGGTGACTGGCACATCCCAGGTTGTGGTCCAAGATGGGAGCAGCAGGCTTACCTTGGGCACTAGTGCTGGGGTGGTGGGTGGGGAGGGAGAGATGGGCAGAACCCAGGTGGCCCCCTTAGGAGGGTGGCCACGAAGCAGGGCTGGGAGGTTGGAAGGGGTAGGGCCTGCGTGGGGCTCCCTGGTGGGGAGAGGGAGGCACGTGTGTCTGGCTGCACTGAGGCGAAGGCCTGAGATGAAAGAGTGGGGTGGGAGCCGAGAGAGCACCCTGAGGACAGAGCTCCGGGCCCAGCTGAGGCTTTGCCTGTAAATCAGGAGGCAACAGGAGACCCTGAACTCTAGTAGGACGCAGATGGCTCCTTGTCCCTGGGGTTGCCAGCCAGGTCTCCCCGTGCTGGCTTCCAGAAGCTGCAGCCTGTCCAATCAGGGCTCAGTGGAGGGATCACTTGATCCCAGTGGTGGATTTCGAAGTGGGCAGAGGGATGACTTGGAAAAGGGCATCCAGGAGTTAGCTGGCGAAGGAGAGGTTGAGGGTCAACCTCTGGGCATGCTCCAACACTGGAGCAGAGGGTTTGTGGTCACTTTATAACTGGCATTTAGGGGTATGCCTGCAGCAGCCCCAGGAATGACAGCAACTGGCCATCCGTCTCCTGCCCAGCAAACTCTCTGTGCTTTGAAACAAGAGCGTCCTGTTCAAGGTCAGCAGAGAGAGATGCAAAGGAGAGACTGACCCCTGGGGAGTGAGAGATCCTCTCCTGCCCTCACCTGATGTCTTTTGAGGGGAGGGGGCAGCAGAGGGAGCCTACTGGGGGGCATAAAAGGGCCTGGGAGGAGGAGCAGAGACAGTGAGTCACTGGCTAAAGGCCACACATGGAGGCCAGGGGGACCTTGTATCTGAGCCCCATGGGACGGCTTTGTTGTTGGCTCTCGACAGCCTTCCCATCTTCTTGTCCCTGGGCTCCATGCCCAGGCCCCGCTGTCAGTACCTGCACCCTGAGCCAGCGCCTGGCAAATGCAACCATGAGCTCATGGGGCGGGGTAAATTGGCAGGCCCCCGATCTCCCCTGGAGCAGCGGCAGGTGCATGTTGGAGCCCTGGGCCCGGCGCCTCCATAATCTCCCTCCTGGCCCCATCGGCTTGCAGGAGGTGGCTCCTCCAACCAGCCAGTTCAGCCTCCTCCACCTTAGTCCCCAGACTCCAATAAAGGTGGAACATTGGCTCATGCCATGGCATGAAGACTTGAGATTAGATTCCAAGAAGGATTTCCTACTCAAAAGATGGGATGATGGGATAAGGGGAGGGGGAGTTAAAATGAAGGACAAATATTAATAATAAGTGTGTCACTCATCATTAAGGGCTTATTCTGTGTCCTGCTCTGTGTTAAGTGCTTTTCAGGCAGTTCTCATGTAATCTTCTCCGTGACCTGGAGAACGTGGAAACTCAGGCCAAGCTTTCATGCCACTAAGCAGAGGAGCTGGCACTTGCACTGAGCTTCTAGCTGCAGGATGAATCTTGAGGGTCCAGTGGGGCTGGCCACCCGAGAGCGCACACTCATCCCTTCTTCTGGTGCCAGTGTTAATGAGACAGGCTTCTGGGGGTCGAACAGGTAGGAAAGGTAAGGGCTGAGCTGCTCCAGAGGGTTCAAGTCAGCCACGCAGGGGCAGGTGGGCCTTCCTGTCTGGTAGCTCTTGGGTCAGAGAGGAAGCAGGCACATCAGCTCTGCAGCAAGAGGGAGCAAGGGGAGGTGGCAAGATGCCTGAACTCCATGGCTGCATGTCTGCCCTTGGTGCCCAAGCCTGTACCCCATAGCAGGGGTCTGGGGTCATACTCTGTGTTTCAAGGTCCAGTGTCAATGCACACATAGTGTATTGACCTTGGATGTGGCCTTGGATGTGAGGGCCAGGTGGGACCCCAGAGACCATCTAGGCTCATACACCCTTCATTTATAGGCAAGGTATCCCCCAGAGAGGGAAGGGCCTTGCCCAAGACCGCACAGCAAGTTGGGGGGGACACAGCTGGTCTCTTGACCCCATGTCACAGCTCTGCCCACCGTGTCACATTCTCTCCCTAATTTTGATAAACCTCTGTCTCCCTGTCTTGTCTCTTGTCTCTGTACTTTTCTCATGCTTTCCCCTCCATGCAGACTCTGCCCATTTCTCAGGGCCTAGCCTGGCCCGCTCCACTCTGGAGCCTTCCTGATTTCTCTCTCCCAACTTCTGCTAGGCCATTAGCAGCTCGTCCTGCTAATTCTCATTCCCTAATTGTCTGTAACACAAATTAATTACTTGATGCACTAATGACCTGGGTTCTAACCAGGCTCAATTGCTTTCTAGCTGCGTGACCTTGGGCTAGTTACTTAACATTGTTAATCGTCTGTTTTCTCATCTGTAAAGTGGGGCAGGCTTTTGAGCCTGAGTGAACAGCAGAAGCCGAGGCTTGGGGTAAACTTGGGAAATGGCAAAGTGGAAATCTCAGTGCATCGGGAGTGGGTGGGGCTGATGCAAGAAAGGCAGGCGGGGCCTGTTGTGGGGAGCCCCAGATGGGAGGGGATGCGTTATTGGTAATGGGGAGCACATGAGGCTTTTTGGGAAGGGAGGTAGCAAACCACCACCTAGAGTTTGGGGTGGCCATGAAATGGGGTGGAAAAGGCACGGGCTTTGGAGTTGGCAGATCTGGATTTAAATTTCAGCTCTACCAGTGATTAGCTGTGTGACGCTGCACAAATTGCTAGATCTCTCTGATTCTCCTTTTTCAATCTGTAAAATAAGGATTATATCTACCCCGTGGAATTATGGTGAGGATTAAGTGAGAAAGCATCTATAAATTGCTTAGCTTGGAGTCTTGCACTTAGTGAGTGTTTAACAAGGAGTAGCCGTGATTGCTGTTGCTGTCATCCAACAGCGCGTGTCTGCCTCCTGGCCTGGCTTTGTCCCTGGGTCTTTCTGGTCCTGGGTGTCAGGCTCATTCCTCATTTCCCAACCTGGAAGCCTCCCAAGGGCAGGGCTCACATGCATCATCTTCCCGCCCTAGCTGTTTTAGGAAGTGATGGGAGCCAGGAAAGCTGTTGAGAAGAGGTGATGTCACACTTCGGGGCCTCTGGGTGGCTCTGCAGAGGCCCCAGGGACCTGCAGGCAGGCAGGGTGAGATTAGAGGGTCTCGGGCCCTCTTGGCCGCCCATTGGCCTTGTAGATTCTGAGGGGAGTAAGGAGCCCAGGGAGCTTGGTGTCAACACGGTGTCTAGCCAGCTCTCCCGGATAGTCCTCAGGCACTGCAGTGGGACCCCGTGGCTGGTGAACCCAGGGAGGGGGCAGGCCCAGCCCCCGGAGAAGGAGCATGGGGGCGCTGAGGGGAAACTGACTGCCAGCTACCCCCCCCCTGAGTGAGGGGGCCAGACACACACCATCAATAATTAGAGTGTAATAATTACTAGACATTATTTATAAAGTACCTACTAGGTGTTGAGTGGTGTGCTAGGTGCTGAGGATAACCATTTGGCAGAGGGTGACTGGGACCCTGCCTGAAGAGAGGTTCCAGTTTAGAGGGGGATTCAGACAAGCATCTGAGGGGTGCGCTTGGCCCATCCACGCATAGCTGGGCCCTGCAGGCCAGTTGGGGGCCTGCCAGCCGTGTGTGGTGTGCGGTGGGAGAGTAGACCAGGGTATCAGGGGTGCTGGGTGGAGGGGCGGGGACAGTGGCTGGAGACGACGTTGGAACTGTACACAGGGGTCTAGAATGCCAAGCTGAGGCATGTGCGCCTCTCAAGGGGAGCTGGAAGCTGTGGAGGGGTTTTAGGCAGGGAGGGATGTGGTCAGGTGCAGGGCTGCCATGCTGTGGGAATGGGAAAATCGGGCTGGCTTGCTTCTGGGTTTCAGAGGGCAGGGGAGTGATGAGGAGGGGTGGGTGGGCTAGATGGCTGCAGAATGGGCGTGCAGGTCTGGAGCAGGTAGGCTGAGGTGGGCCTGCCGGGGTGTGGAGTGAGAGCAGGCCAGGGGCCAAACCTGGCCTTGGCCCCACCAGCTCCTCCCCTCAGGCCTCCAAGGCGGGTCTGCTCCACAGGCCCTCAGACAAGCCTGCCCTCTCTGAATCCCAGTGCTCACATCTGAAGAATGGAGCGGGCAATGCCTTTCTCCCTGCCACTTTAGTGTCTGATCAGCAAATAGTCACTGCGTCTCCATCTGGGCCTGAGTTCTGGGACACAGAAACTGGGAGAGGCCGAGCCCACAGCCCACAAGGCCCCCACTGGCCACAACATGGCCCCAGGTAGGCTATGGCGTGTTGACCAGCTCCTGGAGCACTTTGGAAGGGGGCTGGAGGGCTGGGGGCTTCTGGGGGTGTGTCCACCACAGGACCAAGGCCTCTCTCTCTCCTCTGTGACATGAAGTGCTCTCTCAGACCCTTCCAGCTCATCAGGTCTTGAGCCACCCAAGCCTGGGAGAGTGGGACCAGGTCCCCCAGGGCCTGGGGGACAAGGAAGGTGGGGTCACAGCTTAGGCATAAAGGGGTGAGAACACTGGGACTCACCTAGCTCTGAAAGTTGTCAAATCTTTGCATTCTTGTGTTCATCTTGTCACTTCCCAGAGCCCTGAATGGGAGGAAGTAGGTTCCACATGAGCAGGGCAGGAGAGATTTAGGCAATAAGAACTTCCAGCTCTGCCCCAAGGTTCCCAGCTTTCTCCACACTCTGGGGAGCCACTGAGCCAGTGGGGTACAAGAGGTGCTCATTCCCCAGTGACTCTCAGCTGTCCCCCGCCTGCCCGCTTGGGCACTTTTGCCTGCCACCTGGGTCTTGCTGGAAGCTGTCTTTGTGTGTGTGTCAGGCCGGTGGCAGGCTGGCTGCCATGGTGTTTTGGCAGAGTATGGCACCCCACCCCCTCACTGGCATTGCTGTGGGGGGCGGGGAGGGTGGTCCTGCAAGCCCCAGCAGAGTAGAAAATGAGCCCCCATTCACCCTGGCGGGAGGGGAGTCCCTGCTCCCTGGAAACATGCTCTGGTGGGCTCACCTGCACTGTCTCCATGCACGCTGCCTTCCATGCAGCTAGGTTGAGGCTTCTGGGTCTCAAGGTCCAGGGGCGCTTAGACCCTGTAACTGGAGAAGAGGCAGGCAAAGGGCAGCAGAGCCCTGGGGGGGGGTCTGTCCTGACGGGGTGATGGGCCGGCAGGACAGGGGAGGCTGGGTGGCCTGGGTGCAGTGTGTGCTGACAGCTGCCTGGGGGCTGTGCCCTTCGCTGCAGCCCCCTCCCCATGGCCACCCCACTGCCCTGTCCCTGTCTGGCCCCTCTTCTCTCCCCTACTTTCCTTTCTCTTCTTCCTTCTCATCTGTCTCCCCTCCTGGCATCTCCCCTTCCATCCCCCTCCACCCAGTCCTGTTTCCCTCTGGTCTCCCCTGTTTCCTCCCAGTTAGCTCTCCTTTCCCTTTCCATCTCCTCCTGTCCCCTCCAGTCCTTTTCCACTCACTTGCCCCAACTCAGACTCTCCCCTCCCTGAGTTCAAGCTGCCCATTCTTCCCTTTTGGAGCCCCTGCTCCTCTGGGCAGGAGTTCATCCCACAGCCTGCAGGAGTCCAGGGCAACTGGCATGTCCCTCTCCTCCTTTCACGAGGCTGGCTGGGTCCCAGCCCGTGCCACAGGCTGGCTCAGGCCAGCAGGATGACCGTGCCTCAGGCTGGCTCCCGGCCTTCAGATCCTGGGCTTGGGCTGCGGACCCGACAGTGGCCCGCAGAGGTGAGGCTGGGGATTGCAGCTTCCTGCAATAGCGTGTCATTCATGCATGTCATTTATGCATGCACATGTGTGTCTGGTGTGGGTGTGTGATTTTAGTGTGTACGTCCTGCATGACACCTGTGCCTGTGACTGTGTGATTGTGTGCATGTGTAGAATGACATTCAGTCTCCTGCAGACTGTGTATGCCTGGGAGTGTGTGCACTTGGGAACACGTGGAGTACAAAGGCACATGCTTCTGTGGGTACTTGGAGGAGCTTGAAGGCCCTGCCAAGTGTGAGCTAATCTGTGCCTGGGGACACCAGTGAGCATGGGAACAGCATGAAGACACACGTGTGTGTGTGTGTGTGGGTAAGGGGTCTGTGAGTGCTTGCATAAGGGTGCTCAGAGCATGCACCTGTGTGCCCGAGAGGGCCTGGCTGCCTGTGCGAATTAGGCTGATGTGCACACGTGTTCTGACTGCACGTGTGAGGGATGTGAGACCCACTCCCCCCGCAGGAGGATCTGTGGTG